GAATCTTGAAGATACAGGTGTAGGCAGGGAGTTCAGTAACAAACCCCAACTGCATGGGAACTACTTCAAAAGCAACAACTTGGATCTTACCTTATTAAAAAGCTTTTGCACATCAAAAGATAGCCAGGTGTGGTGGCTCATGCCTGTAATCCCAGCTCTTAGAAGGCTGAAACAGGAGGGTCCTTGCGAGTTTGAGACCGGCCTGGGCTATGAAATGAGCTCAAGGTCAGCCCTGAACTGTATAGTAAGACCCTATCTCAAAAAAACAAAAAGACAAAAGAAATCAGCAATGGAGTGAAAAGACAACCCACAGAGGGGGAAACAAGTTTAGCTTATTGCCCCTCAGACAAAGAAATTCTATTTAGAATATATAAAGATTGAAAAAAATCAGACTCCTCAAATTCAAAGATCCAATCCAAAAATGTCCATCAGATATGAATATGCACTCCTCAGATGAAATGCAAATGGAAAGTAAGTATATGAAAAAATTTTCAGTGTCACTAGTCATTCAAGAAATGAAATTAAACAACACTGAGGTTCCATCTCACTCCAGAACAAATAGCTATTACTAAGAAATGCTGGTGGTACTGTGAGGAAAAAGGAACCCTTCTTTACTGTTGGTGGGAGTGTAGATTGGTGCGACCACTGTGGAAGTCAATATGGAGATTCCTCAAAAAGCTGGGACTAGAGGTCCCATTTGATCTAGGTAGTCCCCTTCTGGGTATCTCTCCAGAAGAGTTAAGAACATCATAACAGCAATATATGTGCACCCATGTGTATAGCAACCCAATCTGTAATAGGTAAATCTTGGAAACAACCCAAATCAACCAAGGAATGTATAAAAAGATGTATTTTTCTACAATGGTGTGCTCCTCAGCCATAAAAAAAGATAAACTTGAAACTTTTATAGGTAAATGGATACAACTTGAGGCCATATTCATAAGTGAAATAAAGCAGACTCACATGTATTTACGTTGTATTGTCTCACTGGTGAAAGAACTGAAAGATTAAATAAAATCTAAAGTGTACAACAGATATTGTGAATTGGGAAGAAACTGTTCACAAGGGAAAAAGAACTAGAATTCGGGAAAGGGAGAAGGAAAGAATGGAAAAGGGATAAAATGCAAGTGAATCTCTTAGTTCACTGAAAAGGAAGGTTTGTGCTAATATCACCTGGGGAATTTTTTATGTTCATATCTTGCACTCTGAGTAACTATTTTAAAGACAACAATATGCAATGTATTAACTATTGTTACTCTGTTATTTTGTTACGAAATTTTGTTTTACCCTTATTTTCTATAATATAAAAAAAAAACAGAAAAAGCACACCTAGTATAACTGCAAACAGCTAGAACAAATGATAAAGAAATTAATGCAACAAGAAACAATGTCATAGTTGGGTATTTGAAGCAATAATACAATACATACTAATAGTGAGATTAATTTGGGGGGTGGCATAAACAATAAAAAATATAAACAATACAAAACGCCTTGTTTCTAAAGTGCCCACAGAAAATCAGAGGCTGCCCATACTAGAATTTGTGCCTGGCCAACTGCCTTGTCAGCATCTACAAGAGTATAATTACATGCCCAATAAATCCTCAGTGAAGACAGGCTGAAAGTGCCTCCAACGCAAAGGGTGGACCTACCAGGTTGCCATAGCTCTTGGAAGAGACATGCAGGAAGCAAACAGAGACACAGAAATGATGCAGACAACTTCTGTCAAGCACTTTCTTCAAGAAACAGCCCTGTCTGTCAAACTGACCTTCCTTTAATTCTGGAGGAAAAATGATGTTGAGAGGGGAAAAGCCATTGTGACTCAGTCTGTTTTTAAAGGTGCTCTGTAGCCTGTGATAGACGAGGAAGAAGCTCTTTTTGTCCATAGTTTACTAGAAAGCATTAAAAATGCTAACATCAGTCTTAAAAGGCTCCCTCCCTGGGCAGTGAGTTCAAACATTTGGAGGATAGGGCTCTGACTCTGCATTACATCACGTTTTATTCTGACTTGTGTCCAACAACCAGATAAAGCTGATACTCAGATGTCAGAAAAGTCTATACTGAAGAAGTTCAGTGTAGATGAGAAATCCACTGCGGCGTCCTGAGCAGGAGGTCCAAGTGGGAAGCTGGCTTGAAACAGCCCTGCACTTGTCCTTAGCGCCTGGAAATTATTTCCAGTTATAGGCTAGAATGGGGTGAGTGAGATCTGACTGACCAACCATTTTGCACCATTTACATCAAGAGGGTAGAGAGCTGGTCCCACCAAATGAAGTCACAGCCTGGCAACCTGCCTACCTGACTGACTGTGGTTCCTAACACCACCAATTGAAACAAAATAACATATTGGCTATAGGATCACCAAAAGCAAATTAGATACAAAGGTTTGATGGATTTTCTGCAGGTTATACAGTGTGAGTGATCTAGGTGTCATGGTTCACAGGCTTGTTTGAAGGAAACACAGCACTCTGGACAGAAAGAGAATGGATTATCAATCAAGACCGTGTTGCTAATCCAGTTTGGCTACATAAGGAACCATGACAGGTCCTCTAACATCTCCAGCCTCACATCTTCCTTCTATAAAACAAAACAGTGATACTTTCCCACCGTGCTCCAAGGATTAAGTCTAATAGCCACACAGAGGCATTCTGGAATCTGTGCAGCCTGTCCCCTGTATAGATGTTCCCAGTGATTAATGTCTTAGATTTCAGGCCTATGGAAATAGTTTTCATAATGCTAGCTAGCTAAAGGCAGAATACAGCTTCTTTCACACACCCTCCTTTTTTGCTGTTTTTGTTGTTGTTGTTTTAGGGGTATGGCGGGGTTGAGACAGGGTTTCATTATGTAGTGCAGAATTGCTTTCAACGTGCTCTGTAGCCCAGGGTGGTCTGGAACTCATAGAAATCCTTCTGTATCAGCCTCCTGAGTGCTAGGATTACAGGCAAGGGTCCCTGATCCTGGCTTCTTTCACCCTTCTGACAGAATCTCAAAGAACAAGAACAAATTGCTCCATATTTAGAAATGAAGACACCAAAATACTAGCCACACTAAACTCTGAGAGAGTTTGCATTGTTTTGGATGGCTGAGTTTCCCAAAGAGGGGATTTCCTCCTAAGAGTCAAAACATGACAGGCAAGCCAAAAGAAGCACAAAACTATTTGGGATATTAAAAAAGAAATCTCTTTAATATATATTCAGAAACTTTTTTGTGGCCTTAAAGAGAACACTCTGAATATTACTATAGTTTTCCTTGAAGATATATGATCATTGCTCCAAGCACATTGAATTACACCAGCAGGTGACAGTGGCAGCTTCTATAGGGTTTTGAAAGGCTTAATCCAGTGCTTACATTTATAAATGAAAAACTTAAGCCAAGAGAGGTTACATGACTTACCTAAGCCATACACCTACCCAGGAGACTATGGCAGGATCCACAGATTTCCACCATTCCACACTTTGGAAGCCCCTGACTTTTAAAAGATACCTTTATAGATCCCCAGAATGCCAGTGATCATGGCATCCCAGAATATTTAAGTTGTGTTGGTGCATTAGTTTGCAGATTTTTATATCTCTCTTCTTTGCTGCCCAAGGCATCACCCATGCAAACTACACTGGAGTGAGTGTGCACTTTGCTTTTCTGTTGCTGTTCATTTGTAAATGTCTTTAGAAATCAGGCTCTTCTGGTTGGTTTCCAAAGTAAACTATAAGCAGCCCTGTTGAAAGGAGTGAAAGCAGTCCTCTAACAGGTACGCTCTGGGGAAGCACTGGGGCTAGTGTCCTTGCCCAGTCCATTCCTAACTGGAGGCCCACTGCAGCTTACATAAAGGTCCCTAGTCTAACCATGGATTAAGTAATTAAGTGACTCCAAACACACAGAAACACATGCAGTATGCACCTGTGTGGGGTGGATTTTTCCCTAGAGCACAGAGCAGGGGCCATCCATAGTGTGTTAACAATTAGAATCCATTCAACCTGTACATGCCAACTCCAGAGACAGGAACTGACCACACCAAAGGTCACCTCTAACAGCAGCAGAAACTCTTTCCATCTACTAAGGCAGGATTTCCCTGTCATTTAAGTAGATCCTTTAAAAAGGTATATGGGAGAGGAAAAAGCCAAGATAAAGACACGAAGTATGTTCAGGAAAATACCTGAGTCCATTCAATCAGTTTTGTACAAATTGATTTGAACTATGACTGTAGAAAAATCCACGTAAGTCAGTCACCACGTGCAAATCCACACAGACACACACTACTTGCCCAGCAGAGTGCAGGAGCAGAGCTCTGAACCCAAGATAGAGAAAGACAACGGCCCTCCAAAGGTGCTGCGCGCCAAACACCCCTAACAAAATATGGGGACACCCCTCCCCTCCACCAGTCACCGTCCCTCTTACTGCCTTTCTGTAGTTTATTACCGGGAAAGCCATAAATTCTGATCTAATGCCTCAATTTCCCAACTTCTTTTGGATACTGCTCTTTGCTCCACAGCAGTCTTACCAACCATTCCCCGGAGAGCCCCGACCTTTATTCCTTGGCATTGTGGATAGTCATCAGGGCGGCACGGGAACGCACTGGCCTCAAGCGAATTTTCCCTCTCCTGTGGCCCTGGACCACAGTCATCCACACCTGCAGAAATCACTTGCCCTGGCAGAAGTTCAGAGTGTACACCTATCGCCTCCAATCTATGCGTCAACACACCTCAAAGCCAGATCGCACCTTTCTGGGTGCTTTGCTAGGCAGGTGTGGGAGAAACATCTGTAACTTGGCTCCTATGGAAGTTTTTGTTCACACCTGCAACAAAAGCATCTCCCGGTCAGCACGGAAAAGACTAATGACAGGTCTGTCCCGAGAGAGTTGGAACGCGCTTCTGAGTACGCGGGCGGGAGAACTTGGTGGGTCCGCACAGGTGGCCACCCGGTCCCCCTGGCCCGCGTCCCGCGGACCTTCCCCGGCGGCCAGCTCCTCGCGGTCGCCCGGCCCCACGGGACGGCTGCGCGCGGGCTCCTACCTCGGTGACGATGGTGGAGTGGGCCTGGGCGTAGCGCCAGCCGCCGCGGCACGGCACGAGGGGCGCCGAGCGGTTGGGGAAGGCGGCCAGCGGGTCGGCGCAGCTGAGCCCGCCCGCCGCGGCGCTGCCGTTGGCCGCCTCCAGGAGGTAGCGCTGGCAGCGGCCGTCGCCGGGGCGCGCGGGGGGCGCGGGGCCGCGGGGCGCGGGCGCGGTGCGGTTCCACTCCTCCTCCGGGCTCCAGCCGCAGCGCTCGGCCAGCGCCGCCGCGCTCGGCCCGCGGCACCAGTAGTGCTCGGGCCAGGTGCCCAGGAAGACCACGCTGACGAAGAGGAAGGCGAAGGTGACGCCCGTCAGGCACAGCAGCAGGAACACGCGCCGCTGGAAGCGCCCGAACTCGCCGGCGCGCTGCAGCGCCTCGTCGAAGGTGGGCATGGTGCGCCCTGCGCCCGCCGCCGGCCTCCGAGTGACCGCGGGCCCGCCGGCCGCGGCTCGTCTCAGCCGCCTCCCCCGCGCCGCCGCCTCCTCGCCCTGGCGCGGCGCCCGCAGCCTCCGCCGCTCCCGCCCCCGCCTCCGTCCCGCCCGCGCCTCCCTCCGCGGGCCCGGGGCACGGGTGCGGGTGCCCAGCGGCAGCACCGCGGGCCGATCCCGCGGGGACTGCACGGAGCGCGGACCCGGTCCGAGATCGCCAGTGGCCGGCACTGCCTCCGGCCCGGCGCGTGCTCCTTTCGGTCCCCGGCGGGAGCCTGCCCCGCGATCTGCGCCAGGCCGGGCTCCACGGGAAGAAAGTCCCAGGATCACCCAACTGCTTTGGGGCTCCTCAGGACTGAGGACAGGAGGGGACCGAGGGTCACGGCCTGGACCTCGGAGACTCCCTCCAGCCCTCCTCCTGCTTTGCACTTAGAACACTTCGCGCACCCAGACAGACTATGGCTCCGGGAACAGCCCCTGCACCTGCGCTGGCTGGTCGCGGAGCTGAAACTGCGGGATTTGGGGACATCGCAGAGACCGCCCGACTTTTCAGTAAGGCAGCATGGCAGCTCACAAAACTAAGCGCCTAAAGGGACCAGGTTAAGGCCAGGCACGAACAGATTTCTTTCTCCCAGAGTTGTCCCACCTACTCCCAACCTGCGTTGCCCATAAAGAATAGCGGGGTGATTTGGATGAAAGTTTTGCCCCTCCTTATTGCCCCAAGCAATCCTCAGGACCCTGCAGAATTCCAGCCGGTGCAAGGTCATTGGCCAGGCCGGGTACTCTCTGCTTAAGGATGTGGCTCCAGCTGTGCCCATCACCCTGCACCTCACAGAGTGCAGTCCCTGTGCAAGCCCAGCCTGCAACGCTATTCGGAATACTTACCACGTGCTTCCTTGGCTCCCACTCCACAACTATCTGCCCACATTCTGCTCTTAGCTCAATTTTTTAAAAAGGGCCACAGAGGCTAGAGCACAGGTTTACCTCTGCTTCCTCTTAGCCTAAGTGCCAGTGGGCATCATCTGTCCCCAGCCCATGGTAGTGGACCATTTATTGGCTAGGCCCAGTTTCCCCGTCTGTCAAACGAGTCTAATGTACACACTCAAAGAGTCACTGTGAGGACTGAATAGTTTAATAGGTAACAACTAAAAAACATGGCAGAAAATCACACACATGCTGTGCACATTGTAAGCTTCAGTTCTAACTACCGTCTTGCTACAAGTTGGCACCAGACCTGTGGGAGTGCCTCAGGGTTAGCAGATACTGTGCAGGATAAAATCCCCGATAGTGTGGGACACATGATATGACTCATTAAATAATGCTCACACCTTTCTCAGTCTGATGAGGACTTTTGCCTGTCTGCTGGATCCCAGACTCAATCTGTCCTCCACCAAGCTCCTTCTGTGCTGTCTTTTAATGTCACTGTGTCCCTCCCTCTTGGCCCCAGACTCAGAATCTCAGTATCATCTCTTCAGGCTTTCACTCAAACATCACCGGGGAAGCGAGACCCCATCCCACCACCACCACTACCCCCCCTCCCCTTCACTCATATACACACCCACAAGCATATCCCCCAGCTCCCTTTCCTACTTGTTTCCAAAGCCCTTACTTCCTTACAGCTAACATCTGTATGATTTTATTCATTCATTGATTTGTCACATAGTTGTCTGTGTATCTCATCTGTGTGTCCCCACTCCAACTCTAGTTTCATGAGGGCAGGTTTGGTCTGGCTTGCCACCACCTGGAACACTGCCTGGTACCTACTGCATGCTCAGTAAATGTTTGTGGCATTAATGCCACATATACACATACATACACACACACACACACACATGCATGTGTCACATACATTCACACACATCCCCTTCCATTTTTGTATGTCCACTATCTTCAGTGGCACCCAGTTTCAGCTAGCCAGCTGCCCTGGAGTCTTGCTTGCAACCATGGCCTCATGACTGGCCCTCCAAAGAACAGCTCAGAGATGCAGTCTTCAGCAGCTCACCTTGTTTTCCAAATTCAGTCCTCATTTCTCACCGCTCTTTCAAAGTCTAACCTGGGTCCCTCATCAAATTGTCACCTCATGGACAGCTGAACAGGACTACTTGCTAATCCTCAAATTCTTGAATTTTCCTCAATCTATGCCAATGGTCATCAAGTTCTCTCTTCCTGGAACATTACCTTCATCCCCTGCCTACTCACCACTTCTGGTGCCAGCACCTCTCCCAGAAATGAGTCTTTGATCTGGTCCAACCACTTTTTAAATTATTATTAATATTACATTTGCAGTATATAATGTACATTCCTCTTGTGGAGTTGGTGTTGCATGTACGTAACACATCTTAATTCCTTTTTTCACCTCCTTCCTCTCCCCTTCTCCACCTCTCCCTCCAGCTCCTGATCTCCTTCCCATATGAGAAAGCCTTATACCTCTACTTCCTATTATCTTTTATTTTGCTCTTTATTTATACTTTGCATTTCTCATGTAAGAATCTGTGTGATATTTAAGCTTGTGTGTCTAATTTATTTTGGTCTCAGGGTACATCCATTTCCCTACAAATGACTCAAGTTTATCCTTCTTTGTGGTTTAGTACTCCACTGTCTATAAATACACATTTTCTTTACCCATTCATTGTTGACAGTCATATAGGCCATTTCCAAGATTCAGCTATTATGAACTGTGCCCTTTTAAACATAGGTATGCATGTTTAACTGTAATTTGATGACTTTAACTCTTTTAGAAAATACCTAGCAGGGGAATAGCTTAGTCAAATGGAATTTCTATTTTTAGTTTTTGAGGACTTTCCTCAACTAATTTCCATAGTTGTTGTACCAGTTCACATTCCCACCAACAATGTAGAAAACAACCTCCCATCTCTGCAGCCTCACCAGGTTCAAAGAGCCAACCACTGTCATACAAATGTGGGTCATATAAAATGTATAATCGTATAAAGGTATTGATGAAGATAACATGGAAGAAAAGGTACACAGAAATTTTTGAGAAAAGTTAATATGTGCAATAACAAGTATTTAAAAGTCACATCTGAGCCAGTAATGGTGGCTTATGCCTATAATGTCTATACTCTTGATGGCTGAGACAGAAAGATCATGAATTTTAACCTAGCCTGGGTAACTTAACAAGAACCTGTGTCAGAAAGAAACAAAAAGAAAAAAGAAAGAAAGACAAAGACAAAAGCACAGAGAGAGACATCTTTGACCCTACTCATAACACATAAAAGAACCTTCTTACAGAATTTCTTCACATTGTTACTTGTGTCAGGTATTTTTATTTTAATTGCCTTTTTAAAAAGGTAATCTGAACGTGTCCATGAGTAAATGATGTTTACAAAGTTGCTAAGTGCCCAGACTTTGAAGCTGGACCCACTGGGTTCAAATTCTTGGTCTTCATTTTTTCTTTTTTGGTACCAGGGATTGAACTCATGACTGTACGCTTGCAAGGCAGGCGCTTATGCCGCTGAGCCAAGTCCCCGGACCTTGGTCTTCATTATTGCCGAGTGACCCTTCACAATATTTTTTTGGAAACAGGGCTTCACTAAATTGACCGGTTTGAGCTCAAACTTGCCATCTTTCTGCCTCAACCTCTCAGACTGGCCTTCTCAATTTTAATGCAAACCATATGCTAAGTAAGAGTTAGTTATTAGTAGAGAGATTTTTAAAATACCATCTACTACCAGAATTAATAAGTATCATCTTACTATGTTTGCTGCAGATACAAGTTACAAAGTGGTACCACCCACTCAACCCTTTCCTTCTTAGTCACTTTTCTCATTGTTGAGACAAAATATCCAATACCCAAAGTTAAAGGAGGAAAGATTTATTTTGGCTCACAGTTTATAGAGGTTTCACTCTTTATTTGGCTGGTATCAAGGCATAGCAAAGGGACATTGCAAAAGAGAAACAATTTGTGATATGGCTTCCTAGCAGCAGTCTGCCTCTCCCTTTTAAAATTCCCACTTTTAGGTGGAGTCATCACAACACCACCTAAAAGTGGGCCTTCCCGTTATCCACACCCAATACAATGCTAAACCAATCAGTGACTAATTTAGTAATCACATACCATTAATTACAGCATCACACACCCTTGATCCAGTCACCTCTGAAAAGCCCCATCTATGACTGCATGGAGCTTTGGGGAGCCATCTAAATACAAGCCACAGATGGTATCCTTGTCTCTCCCTTCTTTTCTAAGGCAATCATCTGGCCTTTCCCTTAGAAGGAGAACCTAGGGAGTGGTCTCAGGGACATTAAGTAAGGAATCCTGGAGCTCCCGGAGCTCCCAGTGTAGGTGCTGGACACCACCATTTGGTCCTGGGGTGAGAGGAACATACAGATTGACACCCCTAAAAACTCTAGACCTTTCTTGCCCCTGTGTAATTAGGTTGCTTTTTACCTTTCTTTCCATCTGTGTTTTAATCGTTTTAACTCATAGGAATTGCCACAAAAATAGTTTTTGGAGTGTTGCAAATTTACATAAATGGTACCACACTCTACATATTTTCCTTTCATTTCTTTTTTTTCACTCCACAATATAGTTTTGAAACTTATTTGTCTTGATAAATAGAGAAACAGCTGACTTACTCAGACTAACCATTCTATTGGGTAGCTGTAGTGCAAGTTTTCTGCTCTTTCACTGAAAGACATACAGCTTGAGGGACATACAGCTGGTTTTCATTTTTCACAATTACAAGTTGTGTTGTTCACTTATTACAACCACCTATTAAAATTATGCCCAAGAATTGATATAAGGTAAATGCCTATAAGTAGATAAGCTAGACTACAAAGCACATGCACTTGAATGTTACTAAATATTGCCAAGTTGCTTTCCAGAAAATTGGACCCAACTTACCTCTTCCTACCAACATGAGATTGTCAACGTCGATGCAAACATTTGATATTGTTAGACTCAAACATTTAGCAGATTCTAAGGGTATAAAAAGCAATCTCAAATTTGTATTTACATGTCCCTGATTTAGTCAGATTTCATCCTTTTATGTATCTATTTGTCATCTAAGTTTTTTATTTTCTGCTAGTTGCA